TCGTTTAGAGTACCTGCCGTTAACGAGCGGAGGGACCGTCTCTTTAGACAGAGCCGGGAAGTCGATATTATCTGAGTTAGGGCGAGGGGCGGCGGCGCCGCCAATAGGGAACAGATCGCCAGACATACTTTCTCTGTTGGTTTTGGGGCTGTTTTTCTGATATATCCTTTCAAAGGAGAGAGTGGGAATTAGTGGAGATGAGGGCAGAAAACCCTAATCTTCGGAAGATCGAAGACGAAAAAGGGGAGTCGCGAAGATCGAGCGCAGCAGAACAAAGGGGAGTCGCGAAGATCGAGCGCAGCAGAAAACCCTAATCTTTCCTCTGTTCTTCTTTGTGTGTAGTTTTTACTACTGACCGTCCGTTTTTTTTAATTTTTCATGAATATGCTTCTTGTTTTTTCTTTGTAGTGAAATGAGTATTTATAGTGGTGAGTGTAAGGGAAAATTTGAGAAAAACTGATTGCCTGGGAGTTTGAGATCTGAATACATTAATTGCAATTTTTGAGGAGTAGTTTGTAAGGTGTAAAGACAATGAGACGTTAATTTTGTTCCTAAAAGTGATTAGATTTTTATTACGATGTCAAATGTGCTTGTTCTTATCCTTCATATCCCTTGTTTGGTTTTAAGGATGCTAACCTTAAAACAGCTTTAACTACTGTTATCTACTGGATGAGAATGAGAAAGTGAGGCACAAATTTGAAAGATTTAGGTGATTGGATATGAATTCAACTAGTAAAAAATTGTTTTTTTTTTTAACTATAGTTAAGTTTGAAAAAAGTAGTATAGTTAGTTGTTAGTATATATATTAAAATAATATTTAAATTAAAATAATTAAAGTTAATTTGATGTAAAAGTAGGTAAAAATGATTGGAAGTGATAGTTAGTTAAAATTATGTGAGTGGATGAATAGTAAATTAAAGTTGATGTGATGTATAATAATGATTGGTTGATATTATTTAATTATATTGATAATATTGGAGATAGTGGAGTTGAGTTAAAATTGAGTTAAATTTAAGTTTTGATTGATTTTTTTACAGTACAATTGATATACAATCACGCCCATGCAAGGAATAAAATTAGTTTTTTTTATTTATTTAAAATTAGTGATGTAATAAATAGTAGAATGTTTTTGTATAAGAATGTTATAAGAATGTTTTTGTATTTCTCGTATATTAATTATATCGTATTTGAAATGTATCAACTATTAAATTTGTATCAACTCTTGCTAGATTTGCACGTTTTAGTTTTTTGTTCATGTTTAGCGTGTATTATACGTGCCAGTATTTGTTTGTATTTAGCGCGTATTATCCATGTTCATATATATTTTTAATTAATTACTACTGAAAAATTTATTTATCTCTTTCATTTAAAACTAAAAAACTAGGGGTTCACATGATTTTAGCACATAATTAACAATTACTAGACATGAACATTAGTTTAGTCTCATTTTAATAAAGCAAGATTACCTATCAATTGTTCTTTAGCAGTTCAATTAATCTCCTTTTAATAAAGCAAGATTACTTATCAATTGTTTTTTTAACATTTGATTTTGGATGTCTATTAACATTTCCAATAAAGTGTTCACTTTCATGATTTCTTGAGTTATTATTGCACATTCAACATATGCTGAATTACTATTACAATAGGTCTAAAAAATGCACATACTTTCTCACTTAAATAACATACTTTAAATTACAATACAACCTTTGATAATATAAATATACATTTTTTGTTCGAAAGTATGATTGTATAACAGCTAGGAAGCATAACAACATCTTTTGTATTATTATGATCTCCAAAAAGAATGATTAATTGGTCAGCAATAACCTAAATATGTAAAGAAATTAAA